TCCCCTGCCCGGCTCGCCGGCCCCGGGCGCGGGGGAGCGGCGGAGCCCTCCGCCCGCCGGGTGCATGGACAGGAGCTCCCTGCTGCAGCTCATCCAGGAGCAGGTGAGGCCGCCCGGGGGGCACCGGGCTGCGCTCGGGGGGGCCGCCGGACACCGGCCATCGCTACCGGGGGAGAGATTCTTGCACGCACCGGGCACGGCTGGCGCGCAGCGGGCAGCGCTGCTCGCCCAGGGCGGCCACCGCGGCCGTGCCACCCCCCGCCAGCGTCCCTCGGTGTCCCCCATCACCGCCCTGGCGGACCCGCCCCCCCTTGTGCCGCCGAGAATGCGCGACTCATCTCACTTGTGGCCTCTCCCTCCGTCAGCCCCGGGTCGGATCCTGCCCGGTGCCGTCAAGGACGAGGGGTGCTGGGCACCGGAGCCGGGTGCCGGATGGAGCTCCGGGGGTGCCGTGGGCTCGGTCCCGCCGGCGAGGCGGGGGGCTGCACCCACCCCCGTGACCTGATTGCGGGATCGGGCCGTGGAGCATCAGCGCTGCGTGGCGTGAGGCTCTGCTGGCGGCACGGTGGGGGCTCCAGGGGTTTCCAGCCGCTGTCCCTCGGCTCCCACCAGCCCCCCATGAGCTCCACCGCCTCGTCCCTCCATCCCCACCCAGCCCCGGCCCAGCTGGAGGCGCTTCCCTGGGCATGGGGAGGGAATTTCTTGGGGGTCAGGAAAATTAACTTTTTCCCCCCTCGCCYCCCTCGGTTCCCGTGACCTTGGCTGAGTCCCCCAGCCTGGGAGCTGCCGTGCTGTCCCCCATGTCTCCCCACCCTCRGGCACAGGGACTCCATGTGAACCCGAGCTGCTCGGGAATGAGCTGCATCTTTCCCGGGAGCGGCCAGCGCTGGGAGAGCTGGGGGCTGGGGATTGGGCCCTCCCGGGGGGCCGTAGGGGGCCAGTGAGGTTGGGGTGAGGGGAGATGCACCCCAAAAGCAGAGAGGGGCTCCCTGGCTGCTGGAAGGGCTCTTGGGGCCAGTGCGCTCCGCGTGTGCGAGCTGGGGACAGTGTGTGCGAGGTCCCGCCGTGGCACACACACGTGGAGCCTGTGGGGTGACGGCTGTGGGGCAGGGGGACRGGTGGCACCAGGCGGTTCCCGTCCCCCATGGCTGGGGCTGCTCCCATGGGCTAGTGGCTGCTGAGAGGATGCAAGTTCTGCCTGCACCCTGTATCCTGCATCCTGCATTCCACCCTGCACCCTGCTCCAGGCAACCAGAGCCCCTTCCGAAGGAGGCCGTGGCTGTTTCRTGCCGGGGCTTGGAGGGACAGGGTGCCCAGCGGATTTAGGATCCCCTGTCTCAGGCACTCCCTTTCCTGCCCATCCCACGAGGATGAGGTTCCWCTCCCGCATTTCACTCCCAGCAGAAGCGAGGAGAAAACCCCATACTATTTCAGGGTGATTGCAGGGGCCGTGCTCTGGCCGTGGGTGTCCTGTCCCCATCTCCACCCTCCTGTGCCGTCCCGGGCTCCGTGTCCCCACGAGCGGTCCCATGCGGGTACCCCGTGGAGCTCGGCGGTGCTGGGTGTCCCCTGGTGCGCTGTGCCTGGACGGCTCAGGGTGCCCGGGAGCCCCGGGGATGGCTCAGGGCGCCCCGGCACAGGGCGCGGCAGATCCCAGCGCCCGGCGGCAAGGGCGGCGGGAGGAGCGGGAGGAGGAGGAGGAGGAGGAGRAGAAGAGGAGGAGGAGGAGGAGGCTGGTGCCAGGGCTGCGCGTGTGTTTAGCTTGGTGGCTTCCTGGCTGGCAGGCTGCTGGCAGCGAGAAATAACTGAGTGGGAGAGTGTTGGCTGCGCCGCGGGGAGACGGGGACACCGRCACGGCACGGGGCACCCCGCGGGGCACGATCCAGGGCGGCCGCAGGCGGTGCTGTCCCTCGCAGAGGCAGGGACAGGTGTCASGGAGCCAGGCTTGAGGCACCAGGGGCACCGGGAGGAGTCCCCAGCCGCCCGGGGAGCCGCAGCCTCGGCATCCCGGTGATGCTCCGCGCCGTGTCCCACAGCTCGACCCCGAAAACACCGGCTTCATCGGGGTGGAAACGTTCGCCAGCCTGGTGCACAGCCATGAGCTGCCCCTGGACCCCGCCAAGCTGGACATGCTGGTGGCCCTGGCACAGGGCAACGACGAGGGGCAGGTCTGCTATCAGGAGCTGGTAGACCTGGTCAGTGCCGGGCGGCCGCAGGGACGGGGTGGGTGCCAGCCCGGGGTGGGCACCGGGCAC